ACCTTCCCCACAAAAACCAAAACCCCCAAGTCTACAAAATACCGTGAACCCTAGACCCTAAATCCCCAAAACCCTATGAAGTCTGCAACCCCTATAAACCCTAAACCCTAACCCTAAACCCTAAACGCTACCCTAACCCTAAGCCTTATAACACCCTACTGGGAGGTTCCTGGTACTTATTATCCAATGATAACTGTACTCATACGTGTACTTATAGCGATATTAGAGCACTTAAGGGGCTTTTCAATGGGTTATAAGTACAGTTATCTTGGTAGCCCAGTAACCATATTATAATAAGGGCACCCGTTTTTGGTTGGTTACTTTAAAAAAAAGAACCCAGACCCAAACCAAAAAAGGGAAACCGGTACCACTGGGCTACCAATTTATTATCTGTTTATCAATTCTTATCCTTGTTCTTATTACCATATTCGGGCACTTGAGGGGCTTTTTGGTGGGTTATATTAGTGCCGTTATAATCCCCTAAACCCTAGACCCTAGACCCTAAACCCTAAACCCTAAACCCTGAACCTTCCAGTAAACGAAGCAAACAGCCGCCTCGGAGCCCGCGGCATCAATGCACCCGGCACCTTTGGCTGCAGCGCCTGGGCGCACCACCCCAGGTCCCCCAGGTCAAGGTTTAGGGTTTAGGGTTTAGGGAATAGGGTTTAGGGTTTAGGGTTTAGGGTCTAGGGTTTAGGGTTTAGGGGTTGAATTCAGCATCTGCTGCGTTTTAGGGCTCAGGAGTTCGGGCTTGCAGGGTTTAGAGGGACGGTCGCAGGGTTCTTGGGGATGCTTCTGGTCCCTCAGGGCGCGCAGCCCACAACACCTCAAACCCTGAAAGCCTGAAACCATATCAGGGTTTGGGGTCTTAGGGTTTTGGGTGATAAGGTTGTAAGGTTAGGACCTTAAAGCTCTAAAACCCTAGACGTCAGAGCGGCGTGGGTATGAAAATCACAGCCGAGAGGAGACTGTGGTGCTTGGAGGTTCATGGGGTTTAGGGTTGAGAGCTTAAGTTTAGGGTTTAGGGCTGAGGATCGATGGGTTTAGGGGTTTAGGGCTTAGGGCTTAGTTTAGGTTTGAGGATCGACTTGTCAAGCAAGCGTGGCAATTGGAGATAGAACTGGTCATGACCTTGTTGTTTGGGGTACTTATAACCCTACTACTATTAACTTGTTGAACTACGTTTTGCCAGCTGGCCCATGTACCGGCTAAAGAGCCAGGGATTACAGGGTTTGGGTCTAGGGTCGTGCCCTTGTAGATGCTTAGACTACCCCGAACAACATATGGCAATCACTTAAGGGTTTAGGTTTCTGTAGGGTTCTGCCTATATGCATGCCCCCCTGGCCCCGACAGACCACAGCCCTAAACCCTAGAAGCCCCAAACCCCATGAGCCCGACAACCCTAATCCCTGTTCAACCCGAAACGAAGCTCTAAGCATCCCTAAACCCTAAACCCTAAACCCTAAACCCTAAACCCTAAACCCTAAACCCTAAAGCCGCATTTCCAAGGCTGTGGGCTGGCGCAATTGGAGCAGCAGCTGGCGCTCTTTGCTTGACCCATGGGGGGGGGGGGGGGAACAACGGCTTAGCCGCAGGTTCTTCCGCAATATTCTTGCAGTGGGGGCCCCCTTCCCCTCTAGTTTGAAGTAGAGCTGGTAAGGGCCTGCAATGAGGTCATCAGTGGTAGGAGACAAGTCTTTAAAAACGTGTGCGTGCGGTAGTAAGGAGGGGGGGGGCCGCTCTGAACAATGAAGTGAGGAATGCTGCTAGCAACGATGGTGATGCTGATCATGCGCAGAAGCTCGACATGCGAAACAGCTTTCAGAAGCTAATGATTCCTTCATCAGCCAACTTGCACCAGTGCCTTGGCATGACTCATGGCCCATGTGGGTATTCGCCTTTCTGCGTTGCTGCTCTACGACTGCGCATCCAGAAGCCTAAAGGGCTGCGCGCAGCTGGGTTCGGGGGGTAGGGTCCGCAACCGCAAGTGCCCAAGCTTCAGGTCGGAAGCGCCAAAGACTACTGATTAGGTTGACTGCCGACTCGGACGCCCAGTGTCTGCGGAGAGCAGCTCGGAAACCCCAAAGCCCTCTGAAAAAAAAAACATCCCGATGAAACATCCTCTGGAGTCCAATGAGGGAAGAATATCAAACATACCCAGGCCCTATGTAGCTAACATCAGACTTGCAAGTATCTGCATCAATCCCATGCAGTCAAGGACCCGCCGCAAGGCAAGGACCGGAGCTCCCCCCCGCGAGCCCAAGACGTGGTGGGTTTAGGTATGGGCGTAGGGTTGAAGGTTTAGGGTTTGGGGCTTAAGCATTCACTGGCCCGGGGCCCTTCCTATTGCTGGTCATCTTGCGTGCTCTTGTTGTTTTTTTTTTTAGACTTAGCCCTGACATACCTAAGCCATGAAGCTCATGACTTGTTTGATAGGGAATTCTGGAATTAGGTGCCGTATATCCCCCTTGGTCAGCGTTCGATCGATTCCATAGGCACCTTCTTGCGAGGATTCTCCTGGCAGTCCTTCAACCCAACACAAGCTTGTTCATCCGGGCTTAGGGTTTCAGGTGTGCCTCAACCCTGTTTCAAGCCTAAACCCGAAACCCTAAACCCTAAACCCTGATTTGGCATATAAGGTATATAAAGCTTCGGGGCTTTTTCGGCCCCTCCCCTCCCCCAATAACTCCAAGACCGAGCGGGGGTTGACCTCATGGTCACTGGCGCCGCAGTCGAAACACTTCATGTTCGCTGCGTCCTGCTGGGTTACAAGTCGCGGCCAATTACTATACTAACCTTAGTTAAGGGAGTTATCACCTACATAATCATACTTATAACCCTATGTAGGGCCCTTATAACCCTATTTATAACTGGGGGGCCCCTACATGTACCCTAAGGCCCTAAGGACCCTCATTTTCGGGTTTTTGGACCCAATGGCCTTCCTATGTAAGGTCTTTGGGCTCTTTTGACCCTACGGGCTACTGCATGTCGGGTTCATACTGTGCAGGGATTATAGGTTCAAGAGGGGCTATAGGGTTTACAGATTATGGGGTTGGTTCGGGTCTTAGGGTTCAGACGGAACCCACGTGCTGAAAGTCGTGACACTGCACATGCACCAGGCCCAAGATCCCATTCGGGGGGTCGGTCTCATGGCCTTGAAGGGTTTAGGGTTTAGGGCGGTAAGCCCTAAGCCCTCAACCCGAAACTGTCGGGGGGGGGGGGGGGGGGGGGGGGGGGGCCTTTTTTACGGGGTCGTATGTTATTCTTCAGCTCCGCCTCGCAACGAAAATCGAAGTTCTGAATTCAGTTCTTGTAGGGCCACAGGCCATGAAGTTCGAGGGAAATGCGGGCGTTGGTCTTTTTTTGGCTTTGAAGGACTGAGGTGTATAAGGTCTAAGTTCGACGTGATTTTAGGGTTTCGTTTCGGGCGCCTGTGTCTTCCTCACCTTCTATGCCCTCCTGCCCCCGCTGCCTTGCCAACGATGGCATCAAAGCGCCTTTGGCAGTGGGGCTTCGTAGCATGAAAAGGGCAAGGCCTAGATAAACCCAATACATCCTAAATCCCCAACCCCCAAACACCCTGAGTGTAGAGCTTCATGGAAGGAATTTGCTTACAACATGCAACCATACTTTGTGCATTGATACTAGATGCAGTTCATGTTGTAGCACCATCAGAGCAATATCACCAACATTGTGAAACTATCCAATCCACACACGTTTGACTCATGTCAATACTGGACACTTTTGCTTCGACATTGTGAAGATACTCATGCTGACTGTGCTGATAAAGCCACCAGCGTCAAGTAACCAGGCCGCAGAGACGAGGTTTGGTTCTAAGAAAGATTATAAGCAAACCCGGAACCATGGGATCAGCTAAGCGCCGGGGTTCAATCCATGTTCCTCAGGACTATAGGGGTCCAGGTATTCCCCATTAAAAACACTAAACCCTAAACCCTAAACCCTAAACCCCAAGCAGTCGGCAGCCTACCGTTGCAAAACATGCCTGCAGCGACGGACTCTGAAGGGGCTGGCTTCGTGGCCGGTATGTCAGGGCTTGAATTGGGGATATGAGAACCTGAAGTCCGCTCCCCAGCCCCAGCATCCTAAGCCCCAGGCCTGTCTAGGGTTTAGGGCTTAGGGTGTAGGGCTTAGGGCTTAGGGTTTGGTGACTAAAAAACCTATATGCACTCTACTCTTCAAGGACCACGGCAGCCAGCGAAACCTAAGCGCCCAAGGTACCCGGAACACAAATCGAAACACTCACCTGCGCAGACCTAAGCCCAAACCCTAAACCCTATAAACCCTAAACCCTAAATCCTAAACCCTAAACCCTAACCCGAAACCCTAAACCCCAAACCCTATCACACTGCGGCCCGGGTCACGGTTTCAGAAGTTCCGTTGGGATAGTCGCCTCCTTGCCCTGCGGGGGGGGGGGGGAGGAGTCGGTGAGCGCAGAGGCTTAGAAGGATCTTCGGGCTTAGGGTTTAGGGTTTCGGGTTTAGGGTTTCGGGTTGAGGGTGTTCGCTTCAAGGATGCTTTGGGGTTTGAACATCTTTCAGGACCTGGAGGTCTAGTCTGCTTTTCAGGGTCTTGAACCGAACCACCAGAACCATCCAAGCAGGTCCCTCAGCACGCCAAGAACTTACATCCCATCTCCAAGCAGGAGTAGTCTAGGACGCTCTGGGGCTTCTGGTTGCTTTTGCTTCGGCAGCTGTTCTAGAATTGAGGCCTCCTGAAGAGATAGCGGGAGATACCCTTTGCACAGTAGCTTTCCTCAGCCCCTTAGGTGGCTTGTCTGAGCACTTGGTCTGAACAAGGAGGTTTTGGGGTTTCGAGGAGCCGCCCGGCAAAAGTAAACCCGTTTGCAGTCTCGGGTTCAAGATAGGGTCAAGGGATTAGGGTTTTGGGTTAGGGGTTTAGGGATTAGGGTTCAGGGTTTGGGGTTTAAGGTCCCATTTTTCTCTGCTTTCGCAAGAGCCGCTGCCACGGGCTGGAGGATTTCACTCATCCCTGGGCCAGGATGAAAGCGTTGTGGGATTTAGGGGTTTTCTTCATTATTCTTGGGGTTTTGGGGTTTTGGGGGTTTTGGGGGTTTTGGGGGTTTTGGGGGTTTTGGGGGTTTTGCGGGATTTGGGGGTTTTGGGGGTTTGGGGGTTTTGGGGGTTTGGGGGGTTTTGGGGGTTTTGGGGTGTTAGGGGGCTTAGGTATTAAGGGCTTTGTGGGGTTTAGGGCTTTGGGGGGGGGGGTTTCTAGTTTAAAGGAGGGGTTTGGGGGTTTGGGGGTTTGGAGGTTTGGAGGGTTTGGGGGTTTTTGGGCTTTTGGGGGTTAAGGGTCTTGGGGTTCACAGGGTTCAGGGGTTTCGGGGTTGTAGGACGCGGGGTTGAGGGACCGAAGTTTTGGGGTTCCAACGACAACGACTGTTGGAGATGTGAGGAGTCGTCTGGTGCGGGTGTACTCCAAACCCTGGCACCAACAAAGGCAGCCTGGTCCTACAGGGCTCTGGGTTTAGATTGTGAATCCATGGGGCGGCGGGTTTGTTCTAGGCAACGTCTTAAGACTGAAGGGTCAAGTGAGTCATGGTCCTAGTCCTTCTGTACGCTGTTCGGAGTTCGGAAACTGTTGCAAGAAAAGCCGAACTGGCACACACGCGCGCACACACACACAGACAGAGACAGAGACAGAGACAGAGACAGAGACAGAGACAGAGACAGGGACAGAGACAGGGACAGGGACAGGGACAGGGACAGGGACGGGGACACAGACATCCTGAACAAAGAGCCGCGACCTCACACAGACGGGCCTGACGTTCTCCGTCTGCAGACCCTTGAAGCTCTCCACCGGCACGTGCTGGATCAAAGTGAACATCCTAATATGGCAGATCTACGACATGCTGAAGTCAAATCACAGAAGACTGTATAAGGCAAGCCCGTACCATCCGAAACAGATGACATGAAGGTTTGCGCATACATAAAACACAAGAAGACTAAACCCTAAGCCCATAACTCGAGCCAAGATTGGAGTGCAGTGTCCGAAGCGGGTGGCCCCTGAAAATCATTCCGGAATATGGTCCTCTTAATCCCAATAAGAGAAGCATAAAAAATGTCCCAGGGGCCTACCTAGTAAGTATAGCATTTAGGGTTTAGGGTTTAGGGGGTTTGAGAAGATAGGTACAGTTTGAGGCGTCGAGTCCAAGCGTGCTGGGCGTCAGGATCGGGGTTCGGGATGTTGACAGGGACTCAAGGGCTCTTGGGGTCCTTGGTGCTGTTGAAGCCCAAACCTTAGACCCTAAACCCTAAACCCTAAACCCTAAACCCTAAACCCTGGCTTTAGAGTCTCTTGGGGTTCAAGGACTGTCTTCTCCCATGCAGCTTCGACTCTTCTCTTTGGCATCTTCATCCTTCGGCCGGTGTGCTTCACATTAGGGCTTCTGGGTTTAGGGTTTAGGGTTCAGGGTTTAGACAGGCTGATGGCCCAGGGCTTTGGACCGGATGTCGAAGCCACATGAAATTATTGGGATGGAGGGGGGGGGTCTCTTGGAGTATGCAGCGATGCGCAGGTAAAGGATCTCAACGGACAAACCTAGGGGGCCAATACTTTTTCGTTTGCTTCTGTATTTGTACTACTGGTAGTACGAGTGTTCCCGATTCAGTACAAATATTCTTGCGGTTATGTTTAGCCGTACTTGCAAAACTTTGTATTCTTACGACTGCGACTCTTATTGTTACTAGTACAGTTACTACTCTGCATGTTACGATTAGTACTTAGTTCCATTATACTACCACAAATTATTACTTAATCATTGGTTCTGAAGTACTACATAATACGAATATCACTTGTATGCTTGTTGCGGCTACTACCATTTTGTTGCGGTGTGCTGTTGCCCTTGCTGTCGGTGCCATTGTTCTCGTCGCATGCTATTGCAAGCTCAAAGGGTCCGAGCAAGCTGGCGGAAGCAACGTAACATCGCATGGCATCACGACGCCACCAAGATTCGACATGATTCGACCATGACTAGTTAGTGGGCCTTCTGGTGTCTAAACCATCAAAAACACTCATACGCGGCCTTGAAATTCTCTGAAACTCTACAGCTCTCAACCCCGAAACCTGAACCTTGATCCGTAAACCCCAAACCCGATAAAGTACATTCCGACCCAGGGCAGATCCTCGTTGCGCTTCCGTGAGAGCCGAACGCGCACACGGCGAGGAACGTTGCGGATGCCGTTGCTCCACCTCGATAGCTTGGGAGGCTTAGGGTTTAGGGGCTGAGGATGCAGGAGGGAGGTCTGGTTCGGAATGTCTGGGGTCTATGCAGTCTACTGAGTCACCTGCATAATCTACAGGGTGCTTTTATGCAAAAAATCCGATCCCTGGCTTGCAATCCAGTGGATGGAGGCTCTAAGCTTTGTATGCAGGTTTCGATTCTTATGTTCTCAAAATGGATCTGGTGACGCCAGCCAGCTTTACACTGTTAACGTTGAGAGAATCTGCCTAAACCCTAAACCGAAAACCCTGAGCGTTTCTTGCTTCCCAGCTCATTCTTTTCTCCTTGCTAGCAAAGTGGGCTCCACAGTGCTGGGGGAGCGGGGGACGGACGGGTGTGTGCGTGTGTTTGGGGAGTTGGGTTGTGGGTGTGAGTTTAGGATGTCCAAGACACATAGAGCGTGGACACTTGTGTTTTGGCGTCAGTCATCCTCATCAGTTGCTTCCCACACCCTCGGCCTAAAGCCAAATCCGTAAACCCTAACCTATGTCCTTGTATAGGTCTGATGTCATCTGTCACGCGACTACACCACAATGCCTTCATGCTGTCTGCCAACCCAAATCCACAGTCTGCATTTTTGTCGAAGGGGGGGGGGGGGGGTGTCATACTGTGGGTCATTTTGTGAATCAACACGCTGTCTCTCCCTCTTGGCGGCTTCTGGGCACCAGCACAAGCCCATGACTTACGTCATAGATCTCGTGCTGCTGGGTCGCAGGAACTTGTTCAGCTTGGTGTCGATGCGCACCTGGGGTCGCAGAAACTGCTGGCAGTGAGGGCCACACGAACATAAAGGCCATGATGTGTAAGGCTTCAAGGGGGGAAATCCTGGAGGTTTCATGGGCACTTAAGACCCCCAATTCTAAGTCTACTTATCACCTACTTAGGGGACTTAGGGGGCTTGACTTATAATTGAGGCAAATTGGGGTCATAAGTCAAGCCTACTGGAACTTGCAAAGCCGCTTAGCATGTGGTCTCAGTCTTCGGGTTTAGGATTTAGGGTTTCGTGGCTACCAGGTGATTGCTGAGTAAAGCCATGGGCCAGGCCTATGTCGTTGTGCGACATTATGTGGGTACGAGCTTTTGGGGCTTACTTAGGGCAACAAGTGGGTGCTTCCCAAAAACACCCGCAACACACGATCTTCCTTGTTATAGAAACCCACAAAAGGGCACCCATATTTTCGGAACTGTTTCGGGGGTCCGACTGCTGACAAGCTTGCCCACAGCAGTCGAGACCTAGACCTAGACCAAGAGGCTTCTGTCATACTGTAACATTCAATGCTTCTACTCTTGCTAACACAAAAACTCCACCAACAAAAAAAAATATGCTATGTTACTCCCTATGCATTTTCGGATAGGAGCTGTAGATCAAACCCCCTGACGTTGCCTTCAACCCTCGACCCTAACAAGACAAAAGACCTGACACCCTAAAACCCTTACAACCCTAAAGTCCTAAAGCCCAAAAACAACCCTCAAAGCCCTAAAACCTTGACTTGAAGCCCTTAAGCCCGAAAGCCCCCCTAAAAGCACATAAAACCCTTAGTTCAAGCCCTTAACAGGCTTAAATGCCCTAAAGCCCTAAAGGGGCCAAACAAATTTAACTGAAGCCCCTGAAAGCGCCCTAGATAACCCAAGAGTATTCCCTTGATGGTCCCTTTATGAATCTTCGATAATACCCCCCAGAACTCGATTCCAATCATTAAGGCCCCTATACTACATGTAGGTGCCCCCTAGTTATAAATAGGGTGATATTAATTGGGTTATAAGCATTACTACGTAGGTTATATCTCCCTTAACTAAGGTTAGTAGAGTAAGGGGCCCCTACTTGTCGGTGCACTTGCATCCCAGGCCACATCCTTGGTCGCCATCACCTTGCTGGCAAAGAGGCGGACGACCCGCACGGCCCGGGGAGCGCGCTTCTTGAAGGAGATCTGCGGTAAGGGCTAGGGTTTAGGGTTTAGGGTTTAGGGCTTAGGGTTTAGGGTTTAGGATCTACAGGGTTTAGGGTCTGTAAGGTTTAGGGGTTATGTAGGAGGTGTAGGAGGGCTTCGAGCTTGAGTGCAAGCTGATAACTTCGAGGACCTAGACAATGCATGCGCCTAGTTACATGGAATGGGTACTTTTTGGCGGTAGCTTTTACAATCATGCAAGGGATAACCGAGGGATGACGTCGGTAGCTACTCAGGTTATTGAGGCATCGTGGAATTCGCTTCCTCCCATGATGGCCTTTTGCATGTGCTTGTGCAGGTGGATGGTGTAATCGCGGGTAACTGGCTCCTGCTCGAGTGTAGCAGTGTAGCTGAGGCGACAAGTTCACGATAAACGAGGCAGCAGAATCACAAGCCAAGAGTCCTCTGTCTGCGCCCTAAACCCTTGAACCCTGAAACCCCTACACCCTAACACCCTTACACCCTTAAAACCCTGAAACGCTAAAACCCTAAACCCTAAAGCCCTACAACCCAAAAACCCTAAATCCTAAACCCTAGACTCTAAACCCCAAGCCCCTAAACCCCTAAACCCCTAAACCCCTAAACCCTAAACCAGAACTCTCGGTCCTTGGGGGTCTTGGCCTTCTTCTCCTCCTTAGGCTTGCCCATGGTTTGCCGCTGGGAGGCCTGACGGCTTCGCAGGCGCAGGAAACCCTAAACCCTAAACCCTAAACCCTAAACCCTAAACCCTAAACCCTAAACCCTAACTAAGCCCGAAACCCTAAACCCTAAAACCCTGAATCCCAAACCCTGGACAGGTTTGGGTCGCTGGGCAGGTTTGAGTCTTTGCAGGTTTCAGGGCTTCGGGTTTGAGCCCTGGCCATTGAAACCGAAGCACCTTGTCATTGTCTAGAAATCTCAAGCTTTCACAACACGTTTCTCGCCCTCAAACTGCTGGAAGCTGAGAGAACTGAGTTGGCGCACCTTTCGCTCTGGTCGAGCTCTTGCGCAGAAAGCACTCCCTATAACAGCAGGAAATCATGTTTGAACCAACATGGGCGGCAGGTAGCAACAACGTCCGCACAATGACAAAGTCCGCACACGCACACACACACATAGACAGACACCTCCGCTACACACAGCACCATGTACGTAAAACGCACATCGTACACTGCAATCACATGCTTAGTGATGCAGTGATGCATGCATGGTTCTCTACAATCTATTCATGCATGCATGATGAAAACCGATGAATTAGTCGGCGCCGATTTGCAGACATGCAGGCGTACATGCCCTGCCCTCTATCTGCAAACCCTGAACCCTGAACCTTACGGCCTAAGCCCTAAACCCGAACCCTAAACCCTTCCACACTGCTGGGTGAGTTTTCGCCGCAGCCACGATGAGGACTCCAGCGCGCACCGCCGCCCCAAGCCACCTCCAGATGACCGTGTGGCTCTTGGGGTGTACTGAGTGTACTTGGAGGAGGGTTTTCGCCAAGTTGAACTTCTCGTTCCGGCCACGCCTTGCCTTTGTGTCTCTAAAGAACTGGGTGGAGCTGTCCTGTCATGAGAAAGAAACTTCATGTCTCTTTTCCGGTTTCATAAGGAGTACAAAAGGCCTAGACTGAACCCCGACCCTCAGAGCCTCACGGCTTAAGGGTTCCTTCTTTGCAAAGGGGAGGGGGGTTGACATCAGGGTATCTAGAAAGATTTGGCTGGGGTCCGAAAAGACCTCAACCCCGACCTGTACGTAAGGTTGACCGGACTCTGAAACTATGAACCTCTGGGGTCCCTAAACCCCTAAACCCAGGGTTGAGGACTTGGGGTTTAGGGTTTGGGGTTGAGGGTTTGGGGTTGAGGGTGTAGGGCTTGTGGCGGATTCGGTATAGGGCCCCTTTGTAGACTGTCATGGTTTGGGGTTTAGGGTTTCTGGGCGCTGGACCCCAGAGTTATGTCTGCCCCATCCCCCCTGCCCCAATCACAGTAGGAGATCTGGGCCTCAACCCCCCCGGGAGGCTTACGCCGCCCGCAACGCCCGACGACCCGCCAACTGGGAACTTCTGAAGAACGGTTCAGGGTCCAGGGTTCAGGGTTTAGGGTTTAGGGTTTAGGGAGTGTAGGGCTTAGGGACCAGCAAGGGTGTTAAGCTGCCAGGTTCCGGGTGCCTGCCGCAAGCTGCCAGATCACTCATCCTGGACGTTCTCCTCAGGCTCCGTGGAAAGGCTTGGGGTGTAAACGTAATCATCATTATCATAGGAATCATAGTGGTTGGTTGTAATACCAAGAAGAATACTAGTAAGACTAAATAGATAAACATACAAATACATAAATAGATAAATACGCAAGTAGATAAACAAAAAACAAATAAATAAATATATATATATATGTATATATGTACATACATACATATATATATATATATATCAGTAATGAGAACTAGGTCCTACGAATAAATGGGTGCCCGTCTATGTCAAGTGGAGCGACATGCGATCCGCCCTTCCCACGCCTGTGCCAAGGCACGCACACATCACACCCGCGCGCGCGCAGCCCGTGTTCTAGACATGAACTTCCATCTCACATCTACTCCCAAGTTCTCAACGGATCACCTCTCACACTCAGCATACCTCAAGGAGGAAAGACAGACTGATGACTCGCGATGGCGGCACGCTTGCCTGCGCTTTTTTGACCAGCCTGCGCCCAAAGGATCCACCAGTACGACCGTTATCTACGGCATATGCTAGGGCCTTGAAAGGGGTTCCTGTATAGTAGCTGCATACATAGGTACATGGACACTCAGGGTACTTGTCAACCCTATACACCCTGTAAACCCCGTAACCCTATAACCCCTATACACGCTAGACACCCTATACACCCAGAAACCTTAAATGGGACATGGCGTGATCTGTGCAGATCTTGAGTTCATGGCGAAATGGCGAGGAGTGAGCATCAAAGCAACGTACTGCTGTCATTTCATCGAGCAGATTGCCGGGTGCTTTGGGCGGAGCTGGGTGACCCTGCCGTCTGCAAGCCCTTGAAGCTCTCGACGGGCACCTCAACCGAAGGCAGTACGGTATAGGGATCAGAGAAGGCTCATGAGGCCTGGGGGGACGTTTGGGTTCACAGCTTATACCACTTTCTGCTGAGTTTATAGGGAGTTTATAGGGTCTAGGGCTGTTTCTCGCCCACTAGATTAACATGTGACCTTTAAGAGCTGAGATCGAACGTCGAGTTGCAAAGGACTGGCATGAGCAGAGCAAGCACAAGGGTCAGCTCTGAGGCTTTCAATCTGTCATCACACGAACCACAGCTACTTACAGAGGCACAAGGCGAACCCTAAACCCTAAACCCTGAACCCCAAACCGTAAACCGTAAACTCCGGGATCACGCTGAGTGCGCCACGTGCTGAACCAATGTGAAGAGCTTCTCTTTGGCCTCCTCATCCTAATCGAAGACTTTGAGCTTACTTCCGACTAGAGACTTCGGCTATAGAGAACTTCCGCGAAGGGTTCTGTAGGCGTATAGCAGGTATGCCCCAAAACGGCCTGAGCCCTATTTACTTTCAACTTTAAACGCAGATAAAGAGCCTAGAAACCTTGCTGCCATGCCAAGCTTATGATGAACTCGTTGTGCCAGACGACATGCGTTCGTTTTGGCCGCACTGCTGTTCTGTCACTATCCCTGGCCTCGTTTCGCTTTCGGGAGAGGCGCACTCGCACTCGGCGAGGGACCTGCACATTCTTTGGGGGAACGGGAAGAAGGTCACTGGAGAGGCTGGCATTTGACGATGCGCAACCCAGAGGCTAATAATGGAATGCTGACACTACAAACACAAGAAGCCACATGCTCCACAGATGGGCAGGCTTTTTATGTCATGAGTACCTGCCCATGCTTATATAGAAGACATTTCCCCGCAAGGGAGGCAATCTTTGGCGCACTAGGCGCCTTGTGTCAATTTGGTCTCGGAAGGGACCTACAGATTCCTCCACATCCTTGCTGGAACCCCCCCCCCCCCCCAAATCTTCGCAACCAAGCCAGGGGTTCAAATTTCATCCCAATGAACCCCAAACCCTCTGCCTAAAGAGAGACGCCCTTCATGTCACCCGGCATTGTTTCTAAGGGTCCGACGTTCCTGATGCCGTTGCTCCAGAGGAACTTGTTCAGCTTTGTGTCAAGACGCACATCCTCGCCGCATGGAGGATTCAGCCCAGAGCCCCAAAACCCTGAAATATGGGAGAGATACAATGAGTCACAACACAGCAGAATGTGTGTACTTTAGAAAGTCTCCTCCTTGACTACCGCAGAGGCCTAGGGGCTTTAGGGCTCAGGGAGAGGTCTCTGCGTAGTGATACTTGCGGCTACAAGTAGGATGGCTATAGTATAAATATGACCCATATTTGGAGCATTTCGAACCCTACCCATGCCCATAAGCGGCCAAGTGCAGTTCTGTGTCCTTGGTGCTCATCACCTTGGTCGCAAAGAGCCGGACAACTCGCACGGCGCGGGGCGCACGCTTCTTGAAGGAGATCTGTCCAAGGAGGCCCATGCCCCCACAAGTTCCGAAAATTCCCGGGTACAGTATTTGAGGATCCCGGGTTGTAAACTACAAGGTTTCCCCCCGCGACCCCCCCACCCACCCGCCCCCCCCGGACATGTAGAATTAGGGTTTAAGCATAGGTACACTCTACACACTCTCAAAGCTAAGCAGCAGCGAACAGAACCCAACAACCCGAGCCTGAGCACTGCGAGGGAAGGCTACGACTATGGCTATGGCATGGGATCCCCTCTGCCCAAAGTAGACCGAAACAAGGCACAATGGAGGAAGATTTGGGCATTCCTTGGGTAGGGATAATTAGGTGGTCGGTGCAACGTAGGGGAGGTGGCGGGGGGGCGGAGGGGGGGCGGGGGGTAGCATAGGATCCCATGCCGACGCACCACAAAACCCTACAGCACAAACCTAAGCTTGAGTACTTCAACCCTAAGCCATTCACGGTAGTTATATTCCGCAAAAAAAATGCTGGCAAACTCACTATGTGAAGCCAGATGACAGCCCGGAAGCCCAACCTGGATGTCGGGGTTTAGGCTAGGATAAACAAAGGTAAACCGACTACACCCCCGGGAGGATGGGGCTTGGGAGTTGGGACGAGCCTTTCCCCCTCCGCCACATACCTCAAACCCTCAACAGGCCCCAAAACAAACAAAAACAAACAGATTAACTTCTTTTTAGCAGCCCGCAACCCGAAACCGGCGGCATCTTCGACAGATCTTAGGGCGCCGGTTGCCGCAATGAACGGTGTAGGGATGTTTACCTTTACGCTGCCCAGCATGTTGCGACGCCCGAGCTCGATACAGGGCAACCACAAAAAAGCTGGGAATTTGGGGACCCCGGCTGGTTTGGGGAGGGGGCTTGTCTTGCCTTCTGCATGTGCTTGTGCAGGTGGATGGTGTAATCTCGCGTGGCAGGCTCCTCTTGCCAACATGACTGTCTAAAGACATCCTTTAACTGTCGAAGGAGGCTGCTTCCTGTTTTAGGGCTCAGGGTTTAGGATTCAGGGTTTAGCATTCAGCGTTTAGGGTTTCGGGGGGGGGGAGGGCGGAGGGCTGTTTCAGTAGAAGGGGATCTCACTGTGGGTGGAGATTTGTGCTTCCGTTGCGGGCCATGGTCCATCTCCT